AGAAAAGGGTTCTTTTTTACTTTTTTTGCTCCTTCTAAAATTAAAAATTTAAGAAATGAAGCCCAATAACATTTGCGATTACTAAAGAACAAAGGTAAAAATCAAGAAAATCAATTTTAAAAATAAAAAAAAATGATCAAAGATGACTTACTGCCATCACCTAACAGAACAGGGGTTGGCAAACTTTTTCTGCAAAGGGGCAAGATGGTAAATATTTTAGACCTTGCAGGCTATACCAGTTTGGTTACAACTACTCAGCTCTGCTTTTGTAGCTATAGGCAATATATAAATGAATTAGTGTGGCTGTGTTCAAATAAAATTTCATTTATGGAAGCTGAAACTTGATTTCAAATAATTTTCATGTGTCACAAAATATTCTCCTTGTGATTTTCTCCCTACTCATTTAAAAATGCAAAATCTATTCATTAGCTCACAAGCCATACAAAAAAGATGACAGATTGGATTTGGCATACAGGCCAACATTTGCCAACCCCTGTGATAGATTAAGAATTTCTTGAGGATAGGGACCTGCCTTATTCATTTTTTAACTCTAGTAACCTGTATTGCACTGGATACATATTAAGAATTAAAAATACCAAACTCATCTGATGAATGAATGAGTGGATGGAACCTAATGTGTATGGTAGACTTTTACTTAACTCTTAATTTATTATCAAAACAATACATTAGTATTCAACCCTTTATTTTGGTGTGGCCTATTACTATAAAAGTGATGAAAGTTATTTTTACCCTGTAAATATTGAGTAGCTTAATATTTTCTAATTTATCATAATATATTAAACATTTCTTTGTAAGTACATAGATCTTTTAATTCTTCTTAATCTTTTATTCTCTTCTTAAATTTATGTCTAAAGAGCTTTCACTTCACCTCACTTATATGTCCTTAATTATACTTCTATTTTCTAAAAATAATAAAAAAATTCTTTATCTAATAATACCTATTTTGGAAATATGTAATTTTAAAGATAAATTGGGACACAAAGAGATAATTCTGTATATCAATGAATTCTTATGTTCCATAGAATATTATAATGACTAGCATTTCACCAACGACAACAGATTATCCATCCTTTTTATAAGATCAGAGAAAATGTAATTTATTTTTTAAAATAAAGCTTTTCATATCAAAATAAAACCAAAAAGTTGAAGAGTTTATGCTATTATATGTTAGGTTTGATAGTATATCATGTTTAGAGGCATGGAGTGAGCCAGCAAGGCATGTAGAAACAAGTTCACAATTTAGAAATATCAATTGATTGCATTCTTTCTATAAAATATGTAAATAAGATACACTTTTCTAAACTTGCTATTCCTTTTTTTTTTTAAATATACCTCAGAAGAAATCTAAATCTATTAAATTTTCATTTTCTCTAAGGTTCATACTTATTGATAACAACTTTAGAATGCTTTATTTCATTCATTCAATTTGTTATTATACCCTTTACTTTTTTCTAACAACACACACATCTCACATACAATCATCCGTTCTGATTGTAGAACAAAGTAATTATTGAAAATTACTCGCTATAAAATATTAGTCCCTGAAGGGAGAAGTTTTATGTTATTTAACCTTTATCATTAATATTTGTGTTTTCTATCAATAACTTCTGAATCTACTTAACAATATTTGCAACTAGATGTATATAGATAAATGTGGTCTAGAAATAGTTTCCTCCTCTCTTTCTAGGCATAGTTATGTAAAACAAACAAGTTAAAAACAAATAATTGTATTATTATAGGCCCAAAATTATATTTCTGGATTCCTAACTAATATTTCAGTGTTATTTTTAAATATTATAAAAATTGCAACTATTAAGAGTATCATGCAGTGGTTCTCAACCTTCCTAATGTCGCGACCCTTTAATACAGTTCCTCATGTTGTGGTGACCCCCAACCATAAAATTATTTTCATTGCTACTTCATAACTGTAATTTTGCTACTGTTATGAATCGTAATGTAAATATCTGATATGCTATATGTGTTTTCCAATGGTCGCGACCCACAGGTTGAGAACCGCTGGTATAGAGGAAATGGGAAATTAGAATTATTTTTGGGAGGACCTACATTGCTTTCATGTTTATTTAATTTTTCAAAAGCTTAACAGTCCTATGGACTTTCGTTGTACATAATCAAACAATATTATATGAAGTAAAGTGTATCTACTAAAGATCATAAATTCACAATGAGTAAGTCACCTGTTTTCAAAAACAGAGAAGACATATTTATGTATATTTTAAAAACCATAATATAATTTTAGGTTTTTTGCTATAGGCATATATGACTATAAAAATATAAGAGTACCTCTAACTGAAAAACTTCACTTAAGAATAAAGAACTTCTCAATTTCTGATATAATGAAACATACAAGCTTATGGAAAGAGAGAAGACTCTTGTCAACTAACAGTACCCAAAAATAGGAATGGGGGATATTACGATAATAGAATGGTAGAAATTCAATATTTCTGATCTTTATGGAGATAGAAAAGGTAAAATATGAAGCTTACTTTTTCAAAACTAAAAATAATTTAATAAGATTGTGATGATTTCATGGACATACTTTAAATCTAGTATAAGACTTTTTATTCATTTGGTAGGTTTATACAAAATTACTATCAAATTTGCCCACTTGGTAGTTATGTAGCAACTAATAAAAAAGTATTTACCCCTTTTAAGTTAATCCTTACATAGCAAGTACTAAAATACTGGCATACTTTTCATTGAATCCTCATAGGTACCCTGGTGAGTACTTTTATATTCCTAATTTTCCTAAGCACAGAGCAGTTTAATGACTAGTCTATAGTCACCTTGCTAGTAAATAGCAGAGCCAGAATTCACAGGTTTGAATTTTCAACCTAGCATTTTGGTATTGCTTTGAAGCTCCACAGTATACAAAATACTAAACTTTGTGATGTAAATTATTTCCCCACAATTGAAAATAATGTTGTTATCTGGTTATAAATTAATTCCTGGTAATTGTTAATACTTTTCTGATATAAAAATAAGTAATACCATGAAAATATCAAACTACCACACAAAAAATGGCGATATATAAACCTATTTTCATTTCCTTCAAACACTTACACAACACCTAACTCCAAAACTCAATGTCTTCACATAGATAGGCAATTTTCTTATAAACCAGGGGTGGGGAATGTCTGGCCCTTGGGCTGTATAAGGTCGGAGAAATCATTTGGTTTGGCACTGCCAAGGCATTAGGGGTGAGTTAATTAAGTGCTTGAGCAAATATAGCAGGCTAATTTTTAAGTTGATAATTTTGTATGGCCTGCAAATGATGTTATAAGTATCCAAATGGCCCTTGGCAGAAGAAAGGTTCCCCACTCCTATTATAAGCAAAACAAAACACAAACACATCTCTAAAGGAGATGGCTTCCCTCAATTGTACTTTTTAAGTTAGCCTCAGAATTGTATGATGTTATAAGTATCTTTTATTGATTTTTTTTACAGATAGGAAGGGAAAGGGATAGAGAGTTAGAAACATTGATGGGAGAGAAACATCGATCAGCTGCCTCCTGCACACCCCCTAGTGGGGATGTGCCTGCAACCAAGGTACATGCATGCCCTTGACCAGAATTGAACCTGCGACCCTTCAGTCCGCAGGCCGACACTCTAGCCCGCAGGCCGACACTCTAGCCACTGAGCCAAACTGGTTAGGGCTAGCCTCACAATTTTTTTAAAAAATGTAATTTTTTTAAAAATGTAAAACATGTCAAAGAACCATTTCCCTTAGGACCCAGAGTCTAAATAAATTATGTAAGGTTGGCTTCTTTTTTAGGCAGTTGAAGTTAATTTCTCAATTTTACATTATTCTGATTTAAGGCAAGACCATTTTATTTATAAGCCTACTTATATTATTATTCAAAGAATTTCTGTGTCATGATTTTTATTTACATAGAATAGAAACTATTTTACAACTTGTTTAAAAATTTGTATTTTCATATGGAACAGTGGTTCTCAAAGCCTAGAAGTATGGTCTATGGGCCAGTGATATCAGCATCACCTGGGGCCTTGTTAAAAATACAAAATCTCAGCACCCATTGCAGACTTTACTGAATCAGAAAATCTGTGTGTAGGGCCCAGCAATCTGCTTTGTGGTGCAGGCTAAAGTTTGAAAAACAGGACAGGAATTATTTAATAGGTGCAGAGAAAAAGCATCTTGCTGATAATACGATAGTAGATACAATAGTGTACTGATTTGAAAAATAGAAGGACATAATTAACATTAACTTGAAATTCAGCCAAGAAACACTTTTTTTGGGAAGAAAACAATGTCACAAGTGGTAATATAAATTTGCTTAAGACTCTGAAAGTGACACCTGGTTTATGGCTTTCTCATAAAAAAGATTTTTCCCCCTGTATCAATGAGCACTGCCTACTCTTCATTCTTTCCCTATTTTTTCTCTCTGTGCCAAAGCTGAGGTGATTTTTGTGGCATAAAGCCTAGATATTAATTCTGCTTATGATTTATTAAATTCATTTAAAGTTATGGAATATACAACCCTTTCTCACCAAAAGAACTATAAAATTGGTATAAATATTCTATTACAACCATTCTACTGTGCTTTGAGACCAGTGACAAGGGTATCTCAAAAAAACAGAATTCAGATACAGTTTGAATTATATTAAGAAAGCACACCAGATGCCACGCTGAGTCAGAGTTCTGTTATCACCTCCTTTGGGAACATGCCTGAAGTTCAGCTGATACCACAGACCACTGAAGAAATGCAGGATTTACCTTCTGGACCAGCTCAATCTTCCTCATATTATATAATTTCTAGTTTAAGTCCAAAGAAAAAAGTCAAGAAATATTTTTTACATAATTCTTCCTCAGCAAGTTTTTCATTCTTAGCACCACAAGTCTCTTGTTTTGCCTAGCAGAATTACAAAAATAATATTAAAAATATTTAAAATAACATGAATAGTTTACTCCTTGAATCTGAGAAAAGCATATTCTATCTCACCTCTGGAGTGACATCTCGTGGTGCAAACCCTGTTCCTCCAGTTGTTAGTATCAAATTAAGTTCCTTTTCATCACACCAATCTATCAGGGTTTCCTGAAAGAAAACAGTAATAATGTCACATGCAGAAGGATGTGCTTGTCTGCTTGAAACACACACGTACTCAAATACATTATGTATAGTGATGAAAAACAGATTCTTATCAACATAAAAATTTTGAAGCATAATTCATAGAACAATTTCACTGTTGCTCAAAACACACTGCATTTTGAGTGTTTATTTTACTCACAGAAAATGAGGATGAAATTCTTTAAATGAAATACATTTATTTTCAATGAAATATCATAAAAGTTTATAAATTAATATTTGTTATGTATTCACGTGGCATACCTAAGTTCTTTACAGCCATTCAAAATATATTCAGGTTAAAAAAATTGAGTACTGCGTATGTGTCATTTATATGATCTCATTACTAAAAAACCACACCAATCCTTCCAGGTAAATATGCATACTTCAATTTCATATTTAAAGAAACAGACTCATTCATTTTTTTTTCTTTAATGGATTCTGAGAGATCAAGAAACTAATTTGATCATGGGCTCACAAACTAGAAGGAGAAAGAACTAGGATTCAAACTAGATCTGTGGGATCCTCAATATATGTTCCCTACTTTCCACCTGTGATTATGTCAATATTTTCTACTAAGTTTCAAGTTGTTTAGGGAAGTTTTATCATTTTATCATTTTACATGATTGCCTTAAAAGAAAGTTGTAGGAATAAATGATTGCTTAAAGTTTTTCCTCTCCACACTACTTATAAAGCCTAGAATTACAGAATTATACACCATAAAATTTTGGAGTTGGTAGGGACCTTAGGAGATTTGCCTCTTCATTTTCTAGATAGGACAAGTGAAGTACAAAAGTGGTTAAATAATTTACTCAAAGTTATCTAGCTAGTTTGTAAAGAAGAGGAACTATGATCTATTGTCAGCTTACACTATTGGTAATTCTATTCATCCATTCTACATTGTAATTATATTTTAAAACAACTATTATATACATATTATATCATTATTTTTTTATAATTTCAGTCCAAAATGTAAAAATACAATTATATTATTTAATTGCTGATAACGAGGTGTAAAACACAAGTAGCAGGCTAATACCTAGATGTAAAACACAATATCCTCTGTTCTCAAATTCATCAGTAGCGTAAAATGCAGGATAATTAGTTAGAAGAAAATTTGGGGTCTAAAAATGATTTTTTCCCTATCTCTGAATATTTTTATTTCATCATGTATCACAGGAATGGAGAGCCCAAAGCTCCAAATGAAGGGGATTTCCCCCCCTATTATTTATTAATGGCAACAAACTATTTTTAAAATATATAAATTATAGACTACTGAGAGCCCAACTGAAAAACTTCCATTCCTGATGTAGTTATAATTTTGTTCTGAGGAAAGCTCACACACAAAATCAATGAGCATTATAATAAAAGTTATCACAAGGTGGTTCACAAACCAAACCTAAAATTTCCATTGACTTGTGCTTCTATATTTAAAGTAAAAAAATATAAATACTCATGATTCTAAGTAGTTATTATTTCTAGTCCACACAAAAATAAGTTGATGTCACAATTCAGAAATGAGATTAATTGACCTTGTTTTCCCACTAATGGATCCCAGAACACTTTAAATTTCCTGTTAACATTCCAAAGTTCCCCTATCAGTACTTGAGTGCCATGCCACAGCATCCTAATCTCTGACCACATTCCATTTACATCAGCTCTTGATAAAAAATGATATCAAAGTTACACCAACAAAATATCCCAAGCACACACAAAATCTATATCAAATACCAAATTTCAGTATTGTCAATACCAAAAGGGCATTCAAACTTTCCTAAATTCAAAATGCTACTAATATAGTTAAAATAGTCCTTTTATACTAAAGAGTTCTACTGTTTGGTAACAGGCAATACTCTCTTATAACATAATTCATCCAGTGATTAAGTAAACATTTACTGAGTATCTATACCATGTATTAGGTGTTAAAAGTTAAAGAAATAAATGAAAGATTGATCCTGGTTTCAAAGAGCTCATAGTCAAGTAATGGTTCTCACCTTCATTATATACTAGAATTATCTAGGGAGCTTGAACCAGCATCAGTGGTTCCCATCTTTGGTACAACCTGGGCATTAGAATTTTTAAAAGCTTCCCAGATTTTATTTAAATGCAGCCAAGCAATTGAGAATTATTAAGGAGATAAATTAGTTCAGTTACCTGAAAGTGAATTTCAGTTTACTCAACTGGTTGTCATACAGCTTAAGTTTAGTGGCACCTTAGAAATACTACTTGTTTTTCTATTCTCAGGATGAATAACTGGTAACACCTACTGTAAAGACTTCTTTCATTTACATAATATTTGATACTGTTTTCTGTGTTTAAGAGTTGTTGCTGCCTTTTTTGCTTTTTTTTCTTAATCCCTTTACCTTTTCACCCAGCCATGCAACCTTCCTCCACAAGAGGGTAAATGGGAGATAAATGGTGATGGAAGGAGACTTGACTTGGGGTGGTGAACACACAATACAATGTATAGATGATGTATTAAAGAATTGTACATGGTACAACCTGGGCATTAGAATTTTTAAAAGCTTCCCAGATTTTATTTAAATGCAGCCAAGCAATTGAGAATTATTAAGGAGATAAATTAGTTCAGTTACCTGAAAGTGAATTTCAGTTTACTCAACTGGTTGTCATACAGCTTAAGTTTAGTGGCACCTTAGAAATACTACTTGTTTTTCTATTCTCAGGATGAATAACTGGTAACACCTACTGTAAAGACTTCTTTCATTTACATAATATTTGATACTGTTTTCTGTGTTTAAGAGTTGTTGCTGCCTTTTTTGCTTTTTTTTCTTAATCCCTTTACCTTTTCACCCAGCCATGCAACCTTCCTCCACAAGAGGGTAAATGGGAGATAAATGGTGATGGAAGGAGACTTGACTTGGGGTGGTGAATACACAATACAATGTATAGATGATGTATTAAAGAATTGTACACCTAAAACCTATATAATTTTGTTAACCAATGTCACCTGAAAGAATTCAGTAAAAAATAAAAATTTAAAAAATAAATAATATTTGATATCTTGAGCTCAAAGGATTAAGGATTGTTTAAGTAGTCATATAATTATTTAACAAGAAAATATTTCTGGGCATTCTTTCACTCAGGTACTTTATTAGATAACAGGAAATAAAGATGAATAAGGCACAGTCCTTTGTCTAAAGTCAAGAAGAGGAGCTTTGGGTCCACAGCTGTCTTAGACCTTTGATACTAAAAGTATTACCTACAGACCAATGACATTGTATAATCAGGGAACTTGTTAGAAATACAGAATCTCTATGTCTGTTTTCAAAGTGTCTATTTAGGTCCTTTGCCCTTTTTTTTTTATTGGATTGTTTATCTTCCTTTTGTTAAGTTGTATGAGTTTCCTGTAAATTTTGGAGATTAAACCCTTATCGGAGATAACATTGGCAAATATGTTCTCCCATGCAGTAGGCTTTCTTGTTGTTTTGTTGATGGTTTCTTTTGCTGAGCAGAAGCTTTTTATTTTGATGTAGTCCTATTTGTTTATTTTCTCTTTAGTTTCCATTGCCCTAGGAGCTGTATCAATAAAAATATTGCTATGATATATGTCTCTATTTTGCTGCCTATGGAGTCTTCTAAGATTTTTATGGTTTCCCGTCTTACGTTTAAGTCCTTTATCCATTTTGAGTTTATTTTTGTGTATGGTGTAAGTTGGTGGTCTAGTTTCATATTTTTGCAAGTATCTGTCCAATTTCCCCAACACCATTTATTGAAGAGACTCTCTTGACTCCATTGTATGCTCTTGCCTCCTTTGTCAAATATTAGTTGAGCTTGGGGTGATCTCTGGGTTCTCTGTTCTGTTCCATTGGTCTATATGTCTGTTCTTGTGCCAGTACCAGGCAGTTTTGAGAATAGTGGCTTTGTAGTATAATTTATATCTGGTATTGTGATCCCTCCAATTTTCTCTTTAGTTTCCAATGCCCTAGGATCTGTATCGGTGAAGAAATTGCTTTGGCTTATGTCTGAGATTTTGTTGCCTTTGGATTCTTCTAGTATTTTTATGGTTTCCTGCAATGCATTTAAGTCCTTTTTCCATTTTGAGTTTATTTTTGTGTATGGTGTAAGTTGGTTGTCTAGTTTGATTTTCTTGCATGTATCTGTCCAATTTTCCCAAAACCATTTATTGAAGAGACTATCTTGACTCCATTGTATGTTCTTGCCTCCTTTGTCAAATATTAATTGAGCATATTGGTTTGTGTCAATTTCTGGGCTCTCTATTCTATTCCATTGAACTATATGTCTGTTCTTGTGCCAGTACAAGGCAGTTTTGAGAACAGTGGCTTTGTAATACAGCTTGATATCTGGTATTGAGATCCCACCTACTTTGTTTTTTCTCAGGATCGCTGCAGCTATTCAGGGTCTTTTTTTATTCCAGATCAATTTTTGGAGAGTTCTTTCTAGATCTCTGAAATATGCCGTTGGTATTTTAATGGGAAGTGCATTGAAATTATAGATTGCTTTGGGTAGTATGGTCATTTTTATGATGTTAATTCTACCAATCCAAGAACATGGTATGTTCTTCCATCTGTTTATGTCTTCCTCTATCTCATTTTTCAACGTCCTGTAGTTTTCTGAGTAGAGGTCTTTTACCTCTTTAGTTAAGTTTATTCCTAGGTAGTAATTTTTTTGTGCGATGGTAAATGGGATTGTTGTTTTAGTCTCTCTTTCTGTAAGTTCACTATTGGTGCATAGAAATGCCATAGATTTCTTGGCATTAATTTTGTATCCTGCTACATTTCCGAATTCATTTATTAAGTCTAGTAATTTTTTTTTGATGGCCAAGAGACATATGAAAACATGCTCAAAGTTACTAATCAGCAAAGAGATGCAAATCAAAACAACAATGAGGTACCATCTCACATCTGTCAGAATGGCGTTCATCAACAAATCAACAAATGACAAGTGCTGGAGAAGATGTGGAGAAAAAGGTGCCCTGCTGGTCTGCTGGT